GTGATGTGTTTCCCTTCCCCCATGACTCCTTTAAAACTTCCTTTTTGTCATGTTTTTTGAGCATGATATGCTTTGTGTGGTTTTGCTCATACTTCTCATTGTTGGGGTTCATTAAGCTTATTGTCTTATGTTTATAGTTTAATTAAATCTGGAAATTTTTCAGCCATTATTTCTTACATATTTTTTTACCACTCCCCCTGCATAGGCTCTAATTACATGTACATTAAGCTGCCTGAATTTGTTCCATAGCTCAATGATGTCCTTTTCATCTTTTTAAATTCATTTTTTTCAATGTGTGCTTAACTTATTATAATTTATATTGCTGTTCTGGGTCTTATTTATAACTTCCATGTTTCTACTTAACTCCTGAATGTATGGAATACAATTATAATAATTGCTTTAATGCCTTTCTCTGGTACACTAACATATGTGTCTGCTCTGGGTTAGTTTTACTTCTCAATATGGACTATATTTTCCTGCTTGTTTGTTTTGCAAGACCTTGTAAATATCACCTTTTGGGGTGGGTACTACCTATTTTTGCATTCCTATTCTTGAGGTTTGGTCTGTGACACAGTTAAATTATTTGGGAACAGATTGAGCTTTTGGGATCTTGCTTTTAAGATTTTTTTAGAGAAGCCCCATAGGTATGTTTAGTTTGTGACAAATTATTCATATCTTATGAGTAGAGCTGAGACTATTGTGAGACAAGTGAGGATCCAGGGTACAAATTCAAGGAGGAGCTTACACGTGGGCTCCTGTAAGTGCTTGTCTGGGCAGAAGGGCCTACTTAACTTGGGGATGATCAGCTGCAGAATTTAAGGAGGCACTTGACCTCATGTGCCAGTCCTGTGCTTATATGGACTTGAGATTGAGTGCCTCCTTAAATTTGTTTCCTGAGTGCCTTGCTTCTCACACTGTATTTCCATACTGCCTCTGTGTACCCCTAAGCAAAAACTGTACAATTTTTACCAGTCTGGTGGGCACAGACACTATTCCCAGTCCTACATAATCATTAGGAACTACTCCCTCTACTTCTCCCAGATGGTTCTCTTTTGGCTCTAAGCAGATTCCACACACACATGCCCCGATCAGTTTTCTGCTGAATAATCAATGGGACTCTCCACAGCTGTCCGGAGTTCTCCTTCTGTGCATCTGTCTTCTCTCTAGCCAGTTTAATGTCCTAGACTCTTAGCTCTGTCTCCTCAACTCAGTGTAACATCTGAGTCCTGCCTGGGCTACCCCTCCCTGTGCCACAGTCTAGAAACTCTCTGGAGGCACTAAGCTGGACAATCAGAAGGTTCACATGATTCTCTTCTCACCTCCCAGTGGTCACTATCCTTCATTGCCTGAGGCATGATGTCTTGGAAACCATTGTTTCATATATCTTCCCCGGTATCTGTTGTTGTCGATTCATGTGGGAGGGTAAATGTGGTCCTGCTAGTTGATCTCAGCTAGAAATAAAATATCCTATAAATAATGTCTGAAAAACATATTTATATTTGTATATTTCTACACATAGTTATTTTAGGTAGTAGAATTGCTGGTTTTGGAAGGAATCTATGCCACTCTGAGTGTCTGGCATGCACAGAGCCCTCTTTTCAGTTAAGATGAATGTAAGTGTCACATGCTAGGGTAGCCAGTAGCCTCTGAAGACTAGATGGGAGATTTGATACAATCGGCACTCTGACATAAATATTTGGTGTAAGTGATTGCTTATTACAACAGTGTAAAGAGTGCAGCCTGAGGGACAAGACAAGATGGCTGACCAGAGACACCAGCTGCCAGATCATCTCAGAAAGAAGGAAAAGTTTTAGATGAAAAAGAAAAAAACAAACAAACATAGATTGGTGTCATTCCAAGAGAAAAGTGCCAGAACCTACCAGAAATTGCATGGGAAGAAGTTGCGGAGCAGAACAAGAAGGAGCAAGATATATATTGGGCCCCCGAGAGGCTTGGAGCCCAGTGAAAATGGTAGGTGGGTGGTTTGTTTCTCCCTGCCTCACATCTCTGGCAGTCAGCAGGTTCCTGAGCTGATGGAGAGACTTTGAACCCACATGAGCCCAAAAGCTGCTGTTGCCAGTGAACTGGGAACTTCTTGGATCTGTGTGACCCCACATCCTGGACATTCCAGGTGGACTGCCTTTTAACGAGATGGACAGGGATGATCAGAGTGCTAGCTTTCTTCCATCTAGACTCTTTCTCCCTCCCCTCCACCGCACTTGGCTGCTGAGAGAGACGATTGAGTTGGGGCTCTCAGGAGCTGCTGCTTCCTCTCTGTTGGAGTATCCACCATACCAGGGCTTCCACAGAGAGCGGAGCTGAAGCCTTTCCTGTTAAAGTCCTGCAGCAGACTAAGGGGTGCTTGGATTGTGAGCCTCCTGCTCACCAGCCCTCCCTGGTGCTGCTTGTCCAGCTGCTCCATCAGAGCAGGGCACTCCCTGAAGTGTAGGGACATCGATCCTGCTTAGCACTCCATAGGCATCTCAGAACCAGCATGCTTCTCCTTGGCACAGTCACCAGGGGACCCAGGGACAGTTATTCAGGTCATATCCCAAACCCCCAGGACTCAATCATGTTGCTTGGGGGCACAGAGGAGAGATTTGTGAACTAATCTTAGGAGGCAAGGGAGCTCAAGTGAACAGAACTGAAAAGAGAGTGCAGTGTGGGTCTCAGCCATAGCACACTTGAAGAGGACCCTCTTGCCCCCAAAGGAAGGCCTTGCTGTCAGCCCAGGGTACTGACATCCCGCAGCGTCATCATGGGGGAGCTCATCTAGTTTGAGCTCCTGCCTACTGGCAGAGGCTGGAGGGAGACTGGGGAGCATGGGACGGGGGAGAAGAGAAAAACCTGCTTCTGATGGATTGCGGATTGTGTGGCCCTGCCTCCACGGTCAGACTTTCTGGCTGTGTGTGGCCGCCTCAGCCCCTCCCTGTAGACTTTCTCCAGAAGCTGGGAGCAGACCTTTGACCCCTGCATAAGCAGCTACCTTACCAACTTTTGTGGAGCCTGAGGGAAGGCCCACCCAACCCAGCCTCATTCCCCCACACACATCTGCTGTGGTGGAGAATAAGGACTTATCTGGAAGTTCTAGGACCCCACGCACCACCTGGCGTATTTGAATGCTTCCCTTGATGGTTGAGAGCTGGGCACAGGTCCTAAGAACAACACTGCAGATTTTTCCATCTGGAAAGTGCCACCTATGACAGGGAGGTCAACTTGCACAGCCCTTTACAGAATTTACTGACTCAGTCATACAGGTAGTGGCTGATTCTTACCCCTAAGTACACTTGTCTCAGAGCTTAAACTGGGTGTACCAATACAATTCACAGTTAAAAAGACCACAGGACTGGGGAAAGAGAAAGGATCTCAAAGACCTCCATCCTCCCTCATCAGAGAGAGACAGAGAATCTGCCAACACATATAGCTCACCACTGCTACAGCCTACAAACAACTTGCAACTGAGAACACCACCACACTAAGGCTATTTATAACCAAGGTATCCATCCATATCCTAGATCACCATCAAAGCACCCACAAGCAAAGCAAAAGGTCCTTATTCAACATATGTAACTGGCTCACATTTACAACTGAGGGGAGGAGAAAATCTCCATCTAAACAAAATAAAATCCCAAAATAAGAAACAACAGCTGATCTAGATCAGAAGGAATAAGCAAAAGAACTCTGGAAATATGAAAAATCATAGCACAAAGGAATACCAGCTCTCTTGCAATGGATACCAACAAAAATGAAAATATAGAAATGGCAGATAAAGAAGTCTAAATATAGAATGTAAGGAAGTACAATGAAATCCAAGAGAAAACAATTCAGAAAATAAATGAAACACTCACTAAAGGCATCAATATATTAAAAAATAGAAAATCTGGAAATTAAAATTTTATTTAAACAAATACAAAACACAGTAGAAAGCTTTAAGAATACACTAGACCAGGCAGAGGAAGAAAGAATCTCAGAGCTTGAAGATAACTCTTTTAAATTAACTCAAATATAAAAGCAAACAAAGATACTATGAGAAATAAAGCCTACAAAATATATGATTATGTAAAAGGGACAAATATAATAATCATAGGCATCCCTGAAGGGGATAAAAGAAAATGCACAAGACTGGCCAGGAAACACATCTAAACCATAAGGATGCACACAGGGTCAATATGAAAGAATAGAAAAAATACTCTATGCATATAAAAAACAAAATAAGAGCCGGTATAGCCATTCTCATATCAGACAAAATTGACTTTAAATTAACAATGGTACAAAAAGACAAAGATGATCATTAAGTAATAGTAAAGGGATATATGTGCACCTAACACAGGAGCTCCCAGATACACACAAAAAATTCTACTAGAACTAAACAAGGAAATAAATAGTAGCCTCATAATCGCCAGGACTTCAACACCCCATTGTCAGAGCTGGACATATCATCAAAACAGAAAATAAAATAAAAAAACAAAACAAAACACTGCACTTAAATGAGGCCCTAAAACAAATGCACCTAACAAAATTTAAAGAACATTCTACTGAAAAACTAATGAATATACATTCTCCTCAGCAGCACATGGATTGAACATATCTTCGGTCACAAAACATGTCTCACAAATTTAAAAAAAAATTCAAATCATATGTATCTTTTGAGACCACAGTGGAATAAAACTAGAAATCAATTCCATGAGAAACACTCAATTCTACACAAAGTCATGGGCATTAAACAACCTGCTGATGCATGATTATTGGATCAATAATGACATTGAGATGGAAATCAAAAGATTCCCTCAAATAATTGAAAAAGGGGACCCAAACTATCAAAATTTGGAGGATTCATCAAAAGCATTACCAAGGGGAATATTCATCCCTCACACAGCCACATCAAAAAGTCAAAAAGAGCACAGAATAACCTAATATCATATATCAAGGAACTAGAAAAGGAAGAGCAAACCAAACCCAAAGCTAGCAGAAGAAAACAAATGACAAAGGTCAGACAGAACGAAGTGAAATGGAACACATTTATTACTGGGCAGCTTTCTGACTTGATGGTTTAAGTTGTTACTAGATTGTTATTGAAGAGCACAGAGCTCCTCTGCCTTGAATATCTCCCCGGACTGTTGAGTGTGCAAAACTGTTCTGGATTCTTCATCCTTTTGCCATGAGGCCTTTCTACCCCATGGCTGGGAGGGACTGTCTCATCCATTGGCTCGTGTCCAGCCCCAGCTTGCCTTGTGAGGGCTTCAGCCTGTGTCTATTGGCAGGCGAAGTCTGCTTCTGACTCGCTTTGTCTACACTGCTGTCAGGGGGGGATGGAAGAGTCCGTCTGCCGGCTGCAGTCGTCTGGACGTTCTTCGTAAGCTCACGGTGGGTATCAGGGGGTGACTGTCTTAGGGCTCCCTGTCCTCCTTTGCCCACAGGTGAGGTGGCAGGGAGCAGATGATCCAGGCTGGGGACTGAATTAAAAGCTCTAGATCTTCTTCTAAGGGATCCGGAGACTCCATCTTTGGAATCCACCCCAGAAATAAGGTTGTCTGAAGGAGCAGAGTTAGATATAGAAGAAGACTTGAATGTGTCATTTTTCAAGTCAAATATTTGCCTGGATTCGAGGACCTTGGTGGGCAGACCCCACGCAGTTCTCATATGATAACTTTTAATATGAGCTTCCAACAGCTCTTTCTTGCTGGGGTTGAGGAGGTCCCCGCTGACCGACGCTGCCGAATTTCCATGTTGTATTTGGCCGTGAGATTTCTGAGGAAGAGGCTCTGTGTGCTTGGTAGGATGCCACAAATTATGCACAGTCCCAGAAATCTGGCTCTCACTGTTGTCCTCAAATTCCTGGCTAAGTGGCACTGGCAGGGCATTTTCAAGTTGTTTCGGACCGAGGCTCACCCTTGAGGCCCTTGAATTATTCCTTGACAGGCTCCTCGTGTGACTTTCTAGGCCTTCCACAGAGTGAGAGCCCAGACCCTTATCTGAAGACCTCTCTGGGTCACTCAGTGGATGATGTTTTGGGCCATGCTCCAGGCTGTGTCCCTGACCCTTCCTCATGGACTTCCGTAGTGGGAGCATTTCTGAGCATCTGTCACGGAAACTTCCTGATTGACTTAGTTTAAAACTTTCTGGACCCTCACTGCTCTGCCCTTTAAAGGAGGAGATCCACGAGAGTCCATAGGTGCACTTTGCCTTGGGCGTCTCAGGAGCATCGCTGGGAGGATTCAGCAGTGACACAGACTCACGCACCCTGCGGGGCAGGCCCCACCCATGTTGGATGAGCCTCTTTCGAAGGTGGTGCTCTAGTGTCTTCCGCAGCTCACTGCTGAGAGGAAAGTCTCCAGGAAGGACAGAGACGGGAACATCAGTCTTGGAGGACTGGCCGACCAGGGTAAGCTTGGGGGCTGGAGGACAAAAGTCTTGCTGAGATTTCTTGACCACAGAGGGTAAACCCCACACAGTCTCCTGTTCTTTCTGCAGCACGTTCCATACCAGGTGCTGAGTCTCTGATGGCGTGAGGCCTTGTCCCTCATTCTGGGGTTCGTGAACACACACCCCACAGAGCCTTGCCTGGGCCAGAGGTGCAGGTGATGGGACGGGCAGTGGGGATGGATGCTGGGACTGGGACTGCACCTGAGCTGCCTCAATGGTCTCAGGGTGCAGGTGCTGCTGATGCGCCTGCAGCTCCTCTGGTTTGTCTCTGCTGGTCCCCAAATCAGGGGACACAGCCATGTCATGCTCATCAGCAACTGATGCTGATGTGTTTGCTGAGGAATTCACTTGGTAGCGTGACTTAAATTTCCTTGAAAGAGACGCCATTCTCTTTTCCTTTTCCTTCCACATCAGGAAATCCCTCCTCTTTTTAACTTGTCTCTCCAAGAAGGACAGAACATCAGGGTTGAAAAAAGAGCAGTTACCAGGTTCTACAGGGTGGGCTTCATGGTCTCTTACAAAGGAGGCCTTGGAAGGGTGGGGGGCAGGAAGCCCTTGCTGGAAATCACATGGCAACAAGTTGGGGAGGAACAAGTCCTTGGCATGAGGCTGCCACCAGGAGAGCTGTGACGTTCCAAGGCTTGAAGTGCCTCTGATTGTGGGCACACGCGTGGCCGGTTCATCAGCTCTGTCTGGAGAGGATTTCTCCGGATGGGGCTTCACTAAGTTGGACACTGGTTCAGACAGAGGCACAGTTAGGGTGGCGTCTGGCGGTGAAGCCGGCAGGGTGCGCAGTGCGTGATGACGCGCGTGGGAGTCAGTGGGATCCGCTGCCAGAGGTGAATTTCGTAAGGAGTTGACATCTTGGAGAAGGATGGGGTCAAATGCAAAGATGGTCTTTATAGACAACGTGGTCTCTGCTTGGAGAAGAGAATCCTCTCCCAGGGTGTGGTGTGGTGGCAGAAGGGGACTGGCACGTGGCTGGGGTGGGGAACTGTGTACGGGGAATTTGGAATGCAAGGCAGGCACAGGAGGAGCGTCACCCAGGGGTGCGGGTGGAGGTAGGCCAGGTGAGGGCGAGAGGATGGAGGGTGGGGGTGGACAAGGCTCGGGCGGGGGCGCTGGCGTCTGGTCTCCCGGGGGGCTTTCAGAGAGGGCAGAGGAAGCGCATGAGGACTCAGCGAGGGAGCTGGTAGACTCTGGGGATGACACGGAGGGAGCGGCATCCTCCAGGGACGGCCGGAATAGCACCTTCGAGATCTCAGCAGGAGTGGCATTGCACATGTCACAGAGCGGGTCTGGACATAAGAGTTGACGAAAGCTCATGGGATCGCGATCCTTGGCCCAGGGGCTGCGGGAGACAGGAGGTTCGAAGCCAGGTCCAGGACACAGGAAGGAAGGCCTGCCGCCTCGCCGGGGTCGGCTACCGCTCACCTTGCCCCGCCCGCGACCTCACAATGCACCCTCCAGCCTCTCCCAGGGCCTCGCTCACTTGCCCGTTGCCATGGCTACGCTCCCCGGACTACGGCAGCTGCACTGAATCCCTGAGATGCTTACGACACGCTTTGAAAGGGACCAGGGGAAAAGGGGGAAGATTCATCACCTTGTCACGAAAGAAATCAGGCTCCTTTCCTCCTTGGCCCGTCTCTGGTACAACTGCCGACCTGGGAAACCAGGAGACCAGGTTACACACAGGATCACACAGAGTCCCGTTATGGGAGACCCTTGGGATAGTAAACTCTGATCCGCAGACAGGGTCAATCAGGGGACAAGGTCAAATGGTCAACAGTAATATTGACAAGGTTCACGTGTGTATGTGGCCTCATCACAAAGAACTTTCACATACACCATCCCACACCGTGACAGAACCAGCCCATGAAGCACAGACATTGGTGGTTACCTCAAAGAGGAATCTGAGCACCCAGGAAGGGAAGGTACTTGCACAGAGTCAGCAGACAGAGTGCTGACGCCAAACCCCTCAGACGCCCTTCCTGGGCATCTCACGTGGCCGCCGACTGGGCCACAGCCATTGCGCACAGGTGGGCAGAGCAGGGACTCTGAGAGGTGGCTCAGGTCCCACTGCCACCCTGTGAGCGCCTCATCTGGGGGCTCTGTTTTCCCGGAGAGACTGCGCCTAGCAGCTGACACCCTCAGAGACCGCGGACCTGCGGCCTCACGCAAGGAGCAGGAAGCCCCCCTGGGAGCTCAGGTGGAATAGAGAGCACCTTACCTTTCGACGTTCGACCTTGCCTTCTCCTCCCGGCTTTGCCCTGAGGCTGAGGACAAACAGAAACCGGTAAGGGGCTGGGACTCACTCCCTTCTCTCCCTCCTCTTCTCTAGGAGGCTCAGACACTCGTTATCCACGAACAATAGGACTCCCCATGTTAGTTAATAGAAATTTGTTCCACTATCAACTTCTAAAAGTGATGAAACATTCCAGTGTTTCCTTTTTTGAGAGACTCAAGGGAGCGTTTTGTCTGTGAAGGCCCCGCTTGGTGTTCTCGGAGGTCCTAAGCCAAGGAGGACACAGACTGAGAAGCCAGCAGTCGCGTCTGCTCCCTCAGGGGACCCTGGATCCTGGGGCAGAGCTCGGAGAATCTCGACATTGCTCGGCTGGTCAGCCCAGCACGAAGGAAGGCTTGGTCGAGTGGCACTTGACATGGGGAAGGGACGATCAAGTGTCAGGAGAGACTGTTCTCCTCCAGAGAGCCCAACTTTCTCAATGTGCCAATCCAGGACCAGGAACCGCTGTGTTTGGGGCTGTGCCCTGGGCCTGCACCGCCCCATAGGCGGCCTGTGAGCCCGACGGGAAACCCCCCTCCTCCTGAGCCCCGGCCCTGGCCAGCCTGGTCCCCTGGAAGGGCGATGTCCTGTCCTCTCTAAGCCCACCAGCGCCCTTTAGAAACCTGGGACTGGAAACAGGAACCAGCAACAAAGGATCCCTCCTGGGTGCTCCTTACCTTTGGGGCTTCTTTCGCTCCCCGCGTAGCTGAGAGGAGCCGCCGTGTCACCAGGAGGAGCAGGGACAGGGAGAGCAACCCCAGGGCACTCAGGAGGAGGACCTGGGGCTCCACACCCAAAGCATTGGAGGTGAGGCTCAGCCACAGCTCGATGCGGCCTTTCAGAAAAGGAAGTGCACACTCCATTATCCGCGTGGCCACTGAGCCCTGGAGGGGCCGCGCTGGGCTCTGGTCCCAGGCCTGAGTCACAGAGCACAGGAGCGTCACAAAGGGTTTCTGAGGGTGGCAGAGGGAGGACAGGGAGAGGGTGTGGCACAGCCCCTCCCCCACCCTGCAGCCCAGCAGATCTCTCCGTCCCTCTTGGGCCCTCTGGGCCCTCTGCCCTCCCTGCCACCCTATTTTCCAGCTCACCCTTTCTCCATATCACATATTGGCCTTGGTGAAATTTTCTGTGTGTTTCTTCCATAATCCAGGTATTACCTGAGTCCCGTGTTTCTGTGCGGAGCCCTTGAGTTGGACCTTGAAAGTCCGACATAGGACCTGGAATTTCTGCTTGCACCAGACATTCACATGCTCAGGGTCACACATATCCTCAAACCCTTGTTATCTACAGAATGTTTTGCATTACACTAACCCAGATATAAAACCTAAAGCTCTTTTGCACTTACTTAGTTTTATGAATGTGGAGTAGTACATTTTTTGTTTTAAAGTAAGCCTTTGCTGTTTTCAACCAAGAGGCTGACTCAATCATTAAAGCCAATAATTCATTATTCAACATCCTCAAAACTGAAATAAATATAAAATAAATGTATATAATTATAACTTCAAGTGACCTTGGGGTAAATTTATAGCACTATTTTTTTGAAGTTGGTGAAGGTTAAACTGTACAAAGACTGGGGACATGCTCCACACACACCCATCCTTTGACAAATAAATCCAGTATTTTCAAATCCAGAAATCAATCATTCCCTGCTTTTATTTTAATCTTTCATTCATTATATTGTCCCCACTTTTTCTAATCCTACCTAAAATGCAGATAGTCCCAGCCCTCTACAATCAATTTCATAACAGGTATGTGAGTCTCCCAAGCCAGGCACAGGTCTCAGTGTGATAAGCCGTCGACTCCCTGACTCCTTGGTGGCAGAGTGGGACCTAGGAGTGTCACAGCCTTAGGGCAGAGTCTAGTGCTGAGCAGCCTCACCTGATTAACCTGTGGGCCACGTCATTGTCATCTTTTCCTAGGAATGCCTTGGCACCACAAAAAAGCTTGAAAAGATCCGCTCTACATGATCAGCCCTGCAAATGTCCAAGAATCAACTATCTGCCACACTTTATTTCGGCTCTTCTTGTCAGGTTTAAATAATCCTAATGTTTACCAACCCCTTTTCCTACAACTTCTTTTCTAAAATCTTTATTATGATATCATTAAATTTCATAGTATCCTAGAGGTTAGGGAAAAAGCATTCTGTTTTATTGTGAAACCAAAGTTTGAACAGTTTCCATGATCGTTAATGCCACAATCACTGCCAACATTTTTAAAATTATATTCACTTCTGGAGTAGCAAACTGAGGAAATTGCCATGTAGGGGACTGACATATATTTTCCTAGTTTAAGAATTAAAGTTAGTGAGTAATGTACATGTTCTGCCCAGAGCCTTTGAAAGTAATCTGTTCAGGCTCCCTATGATAAACAAAGGTGTTGCCTAGAGGCATAACAAAGGACCTGAGCCACAACTAGCAAGAGCAGCCCCACCCCATGGCATTGGGGGTCTGGAAGCCACAGGATAAACATTATTCCTGTGATTGCTGTGTACACCCCATAAGATGGCTGGTTAGTCAATGACGGGTAAGACCCCTCAAGGAAGGGGCGACCTAAGCCAGGCACAGTCTCTGAGGTTCAGCCAAAGATCTTAGGGGGTCACCCTAAGAGAAGCTGGGGATGAGAATATCCCCTGTGGCTCACCTTGCCCATCCTTGCTAATCTCTGCCCTTTATCTATGCCTAGTGCCCAGAGCAACCACCTTGAGATTCTGAGTTAGGGGATATCTGCTTCCCTAAGCCTATTCCGGTTACGACTATCGCTGCCACACCTGTGCGGTTATGTACAAGGAACTAACTTTAATCTTTTAGAGTATAAAAATAAAATTGACCCGGTGTATTATTACTCGAGTAAACCATTTGTATGTGTGTCTGTGTTTTTCTTTGTGTTCTGTGTGTTTGTGTTTTATGTTCTGTGTTCATCCTCCGTCTTGCAAACGGGCCATGACAGGCCACCTGGCAGACTTCACTCCCACATCACAGATGCATCCGCTCTAACCCAATTATCTGTATTTCCTTAATATTTGGAGCCCATGGAAACATCCCAAAGGCAGCACCCTGAATGCAGCTGTGGTGTTCCTGGAGGCTGCAGTGGACAGCCTTCAAAACCCAGGTGGGCACAGACATGGGGTGTGGCAGGAACACTGAGACCAGCCGGCTAAATTGCATGTGTGTAGCCCCAGCCAAAAGTTCATAGACAGGTATGGAAATGGAGAAAAGATATGAAATTCCTTGGGCAGGAAGAAAACAACAGCAAAGGGAGTCAAGACCAAACCAACTGGAAGAGGAGTTATTTCTGTAGTTTTAAGAACTGAGCTGCCTAGGAATATAACCTCTTGCTGCGTGTAGCCACTGAGCACTTGGAATGTAGTCGGTCCAAGCAGATATGTGTTGTAAGTGTAAAATACACATTGTATTGCCAAGATTACTAAAATACATATATGTATATATTATATTTTTTAAATGATGCAAAATATATCATTAATAAATGCATATTGTTTACATATTAAATGGTATTTGGGATATATTGGACATAGAGTTTTACTTTTTTATTTTAATTCAGCTGCCAGGAGATTTAAATTATGTATGTGGCTTATGTCTCTACTGGACAGCACAGGTTTAGACAGTGGAGCCCCAACATTCTTGCACATGTACCCCTGTAAGTAAATGTAATTTAAAAATGTCCTCAATATTTATTTTTAACCACTTCCGTACAGCGCTCACCGGCCGTGAAACCTTGCCCACAGCCGGCACTCACAGTCTGCACAGTAGTTTGTGCTGTGCATTGACAACGAATCCGTTTTACTATTGTGTGATGAAGAAAACTTTAAAGCACTGAAAGCTTCTTTTACTTTACAAGCAGCTTTACTTGTAATGTAAATCAGAATAGGTAACATATACATATATGTTTTTATTACATTATTTTTAAATGCTCACAATTTTATTTTGAGAAATGAAAAATTAGAAAAGTCAATTCATAATTATAGTTTTTTTCATTCATATCATAAAGAAATAAGGCAAGTTTTTTAATATTACAATAAATTTTATTCTTTGGTGTGATAAATTTCGATGCATGGGGCTACACATAGGCAAACGTTACATTGTTTACAATAGTATCTAGTACTATGTCTTTTAGTATTTTTTGAGCCTATAATACATCTTCTTAATGAATTTTTCCTTTTTGTTTTATCACTATTTTAAGGTGCTGGAAAATGTCTTTCTCTAAAACGCATGAGATTTTCTGATGCAGTACAAGAGTTGTGTTGCCTTGATTTGGAGTACTATTGTAGAAGTTTTGTTATTAACACTGAAGTCAATGCTCAGCTGCGCGCCTTCTTATCACGGCTGTTGACTAAAGTCAACGCTAGGCTGTGCGCCTTCCTAACACGGCTGTCGGCTAAAGTGGACGCTGGGCTGTGTGTGTTCATTTGTGACTATCGACTATAGTCAATGTTTTTACCAAAGTGGTTAAATAACAAATCACTTCCACTATAAAATAATGGTGAATTTTGTCAAAAGTATGGAAAAATGGAAACTCTAAAAAAGGCAAAATAAGAACAGAGATAGAAATTCCCATACTTCTTTCCTGATTGCCAGTAGATCATGTGATGCACCCTTTTGGAAGTTAAAAAAAATTGTATTTGCAGCTTGGTTTATGAACCAACCAGATAGTCATATGTGGATAATTCCCTGAGGCTTACCAGAGCAGATAGAAATAATCCAAGAAAAATGTTTACTTTAAGTAGATTTAAGTCATATTTAAATTTTTGTGCTGGCTTGAAATATACTGTAATATTAAATATTTGTAGTCCCTATGCAAAAATATTAAAATAGGCTAAATAAAAAATTCATATTAAATATGATATTTACTTTTATTAAACAAGTCTATAGAAAACAAGTGGTGAGATGGGCAAAATTATAAATCAGAGACTAATGTCCACCTGATGGCTAATTTCACTAATCCTGAAAAAGAAAAATGGAAAAGATTGTAAAAAAGCTTATAGAGGATATTTTACATGAGCCCCAATTTATTAAACAGGAATAGGTGCCCAATTATTTCAATTACATAGCAGTATGTCCTTAGCATATTATTTAGCCTATAAAAATTAGGATCATGGACTCTTAAAGCTGGCAGGAAAATTAATGATCATCCCTACCACCTTTTCCTGTAAAGGTAAATAAGCAGAAACCCAGGGATTCTAACAGCCTGAGGGTACATGGCGGGGAGTAGCAAGGGCTCATGGCAATCCCTGTGTTGGTTTTCTATACCCTGGTCCTTTCTCAGCCAATATCACTTCCTGAATTCGGAACCGTAACACTTTCATAGAGATAGATTTGTTTTTGGTTTGGTTCCTTTATTTTTATTTTTTGCCATGCTTCGATTATTTCATGTTCTTCTTTCATGAATTCCCCAAACACCTCCTTATGTTTTTATGATGAACTATGCAATTATGTTCAAATATTTATCTTATTCTTGTGACAGTAATGATATGAGTAATACTTAATATCCTACCACACTTTCCCTGTTAATATTCTGAATAGAGGGAAGCAGGTGTTCATATAGTATAAACCATTTTTATAATACACAAACCTAATTAAATAGCATATCAAAAAATAATCCACTATGACCAAATGGGCTTCATTCCAGGATGCAAGGATGGCTCAACATATGTTAATCAATAAATGTGATTTGTCACATAAACAGAAGCAAAAACAAAGACCATATAATCATCTCAATAGATGTAGAAAAAGCATTTGACCAAATTCATCACCCTTTCATGATAAAAGCCCTCAAGAAACTAGGCATAGAATTATAAAGGCATACATGAAAAACCCACAGCCAACATCATATTAAATGGGGGAAAGTTGAAATCATTCCCACTGAGAACCGGAGCAAGACACATGTGACCACTGTTACCACTTCTATTAAACATAGTACTGGAAGTCATAGCCAAAGCAATCAGGCAAGAGAAAGAAATAAAGGGCATCCACATCAGGAAAGAGGAGGGCAAACTATTGCTTTTTGCTGATTGTGTGATTTTATATTTAGAAAACCCAAAAGACTCCACTAAGAGACTCCTGGAATTGATAAATAAATTCAGCAAAGTCTCAGGTAACAAAATCAGTGTGCACAAGTCAATAATATCCTTATACACCAATAACTGTCAAGAAGAGCTTCAAATCCAAGACTCAATACCATTTACAATAGCTACAAAAAAAAAAAAAATACCTAGGAATATACTTAACCAAGGAGGTGAAAGAGTTCTACAAAGAGAACTACGAAACACTGAGGAAAGAAATTGCAGATGACACAAACAAATGGTAAACATATCATGCTCATGGATAAGTAGAATC